ACCAATCATGGACATAGTAACAATATTTATTATTCTACATTTATCCATTTTAAATATACTAACCTCACTCCTTTGTAACAACTAAGGCAAAAATATAACTTATTCAGAAAATCTTTTCAGGACCCCAACTTGATGTTTCGGGACCCCACTTTGGGTCCCGACCCCAACTTTGGGAAACACTGCTATATACTATACTGTTTGTCGTAAAAAAAAAAAAAAACTAATCCAACTCAAAGTTTAATTTCTTTGGGCCAAATTAATAATCACGGTGGTAGAACCTTGTTTCTGTCTCCCTCTAGCGGACAGAATGTGTAACTGCACTTTAATTAGACGTTAAAAAAATTCCACAAGTTGGTGTTTTACCTAATAATCCCAATGAAATATACCTTATATTACATATTAAAATTAATCTACACAAAACTTTCTACTTTGTGTTAATTAATTCCCAGTGCAGAAGTTTCCCTTTTATTGTCGCCTTGCAAAATGGAATTTTTTAATCAGTTCAGTTTACTTTTTGAAACAAAAATAAATAAATAAAAAAACAACTATGTAAAATTGAATATATTATTAGGTATGTCTGATATGCTTTATGTATTTATCTGAAAGATTAAAAAAACATTAATAAATGCTACTTTAAAATAAGAAAGTGTGTCTTATTCTCATTAAAATCTAGATAAATGACTTGTGTAAAGTCTAACTCTGTCTCAGTTTGGGCTCATGCTTTTACAATGTTTGATGTTTTCACAGGAATTCTAAGAAACAATGAGTAAACTTGACTTTCCCCTTGACGGACCTTCAGTTAACATTGTGACAGAGTTTGGAGCTGCTCTGAGTGACATCATTGTGAGCAAATATGGATGTGTGGCCACCTTCCATGGTGTGGATTTGGAGGCCGGTGGCAGCACTGCGCAGCGCAGAAAACCAACTCCTGTTGCCCGTGAGAAAAGATGTGAATTTATTCTGCCTGCAAGAGTTAAGATCTCTGTATGGAAGGCTGATCTTACTAGTTTCCGTGCAGATGCTGTTGTGAATGCTGCTAATGAGCGTCTGAAACACTATGGAGGCCTTGCTCACGCTCTGTGTGATGCAGGCGGTCCTCAGATCCAACAAGAAAGTGATGATTATATCAGAAAGCATGGCCCATTGAAAACAGGAGATGCAGTTGTTTTAGGTGCAGGAAGTCTACCCTGTAATAAGATAATTCATGCTGTGGGTCCAGATCTGCCAATGCATCCTTCGAAAAACGAGGTACAAAAAGCAGAACCACTGTTGCAGAGAGCAATCGGGAACATTTTTGACAAAGCTGAAGATAATAATCTGACAAACGTTGCCATTCCTGCTATAAGTTCTGGATTGTTCCACTACCCTCTGCCACTCTGTGCAAACACCATCGTGTTAACGGTGAAACACATCTATGAAAATTCTCCCCCTCAAAATAATCTTCCTAAAGAGGTTTTCTTTGTGAACCATGATGAGCCCACAGTCAGGGAGATGGAGCGGGCGTGCCATCACATATTTGGTTCTCAGCAGGCAGTGGTGCACACCCAGCCAATGACACACAATCAGGCACTGACACACACCCAGCCAATGACACACAATCAGGCACCAACGTACAGCCAGGCAGCTTCAAGAAACACAAGATCTTCTTCCAAAACTTCACAACCTGTCCACATCCAGATCGGAAACGTTCTTCTGACTCTGAAGAAAGATATGATTGAAGATCAAAAAGTAAGAGTCATTGTTAAATATTCAGTATTTTCTAAGTAGAAGTAACTTTTATTAAACTCTGCATTAAGACGTGGTTAATGGTGTCTGAGCCACACTTAACTTTTTTGTCGTATTCTCTTTTCGTGTGTGTTTGTGTTTTTTGCAGACAGATGTCATTGTAAACACTGCTTCACCCTGCGGAAAGCTGAACATGGGCCAGATTTCCAAAGCGATCCTGCAGAAAGCAGGTTGGGAAATGCAGAAAGAAATCAATAGATCAGAGAAGAAGAGCTATGTTGTCCGCACAAAATCTTACAAGCTACACTGCAAAGAAGTGTATCACACTTTCTGCATTGAAAAGTGGTCAGATGTAGCAGCAGTTACACAACAGGTACTTGTTTGTTTTACATGAAAATAAATTAATACGTTTTAAAATTGTATTGTCATTTATCATCACTTATTTATTACAGGTCCTGTTCGGCTCTGTAATGGAATGCTTACAGACAGCAGCGGGGAGTAATCACAAATCGATCTCCTTCCCTGCCATCGGCACTGGAGCCCTGGGCTTCAGTAAAGATGAATCTGCCTTCTTCATGTTGGAGGCGGTGGTTCAATTTGCACAAATGTCTCAGAAGAAGCTGGAAGTTTTCTTCATCATATATCCTTCTGACCACGAAACGTTTCAGGTATTTTACTGAAATCTATTTCTGTATTTTTGTTATAACTTTATGTTAAAATTGTCATAAAAATCAGTAATGTTTAATTATATCACTATTAAAAAGAAAAAAATTGTATAGGTCTTCTGGACGGGTTCTTCTCTAATGAAACGTTTCGTCTCTCCTCCAAGAG